AGTCACTGAGAACAGGATCACAACCATGGTGCTTACCTCACACAGCCCAACTCTTGGAAAGCTCACAAAATTAGAAAAAAAAGCCTGTTAACTTAAATTATTCAACTAAATTTTGAAACTTTGATGATAAACATCTACTGCTTCTTGGGTACCTAACCTACATCTACGCATGTTGTAGAGATTTGAATCCTCTGACTAGACATCTGTCCAGAAAATATGGCACCCCAAATCTAGGGACACAATCTGCACACACAGCCATCAAAGTGCTGACTTAGATCCTCGGATGAAGCGTATGTTATTACTCACGGAAAGTTTTCCTCCCATCCCAACACAAGGCAACTTGTGTATTTTGCTCTTTGAAGCAGGCACATCTGATGAGATGCTGCTATATCTTTATTTTTTTTCTTCTTGTTTTCCTCATTTTTGTTCAAAATATCTGCTTGCCTGTACTACAGCTGTGTCCTTATAAATACATCAAATCTTCAAACTTTTCAGAACATTTTGATGAGTAGTGCATGCATTCATGTAGCTTGAGACCTATCCATCTTCTTCATGCCGAAAATACTAACATTTACATATTTCAAACTAAACTTTCCTTTCTTATGACTTGTAAAAGTTTATTCACAGACTGAGAACCCTGAATACTGCTTTACTTTTTATACACACAGTCTAACTTACAAACAAACACCACATTATGTTTATGTTACATATTAAAAACACATCGCTGGTACTATGTACATAATTTCACTCCAATCATAAAATGTTCACAACCACATTTATATATATATCTCTCAGTTTTAATGTATAGGTATAAAATATATCTATTGTATGCACAGGTGTGTAGAGATGAAAAAGAGTCATCCATTAAGAAGCAGCAGGACCATTTCTGACTGAGAGCTGGCAACATTTGAGTCTGACTAAATAAAAAGTAAGGGCAGCTTTGCTCATCCGCCCGACAAAGGTTCAACAGGGAGTGGACGAGAGACTTCAACATCAGTGACAACAACATCTCCTACATGCTAACCGCAATACGGGAAATTAAAAGTGCATATTGCATGACCAAATATTATCTAGAAATGAACTCAGAGCAGCATTCACTCCTTGTGCAAGTTAATGCCCAGTCTCACCTATTCTTTTAATTAAACAGATTGTTTTTTCCACAACCAAAAACAATCCACAGACAATCAGTTCCTACTAACATCAGGAAAAAAACCCACAAAACAAACCAAAACCACAGGATAACACAAAATGACAAAAAAGTCATGAATACAATTATTTTTGCTTTTCTCTACAGTTGTGGCATTGACTACTACTGTAAAAATGTGAAAAACGTGAGAAACTTCTAAAAAACAAATCATCTCATCATATCACCAAACACTACAGATTGAAAATATAGCATTCTCTGCTATGGGAAATCCTCAAGGCCTAAGGGCTGGGTATCTTAACAACTTATTGCCAGCAGTTACTCCTGGACTCATTTCCAACATGTGTTCAACTCTTGGGGGAAAATTTACCCCTCAATAATCATTACTGAAGTCACCCTTCCTCCCATTTCTTTTGGCACACAGCAGCACAGCAATAGCCAACTAATAGAATACTCTCTGTCAGATAGAACTCAATACACAAACTCTGAGGGAACCTCCTAGCCAAATAGACGGATGGCTGTCTCCCTGAAGAGCTCTGATGTCACTACCTAATAAAATGTCCACAATACCATCATCATCATAATTTGATCATAACCAAACAGTTGATTCTGTTTTATATACTCCATACTCCACTAACTGAGAAGAGTTGCGGCAAATATCTTATTCATAGCGTCATTATTTCAACATTTCCCTATTTGAACACATTTTTGTTTTCACTGACCAGTAGATAGTCAAACCACAGTATACGGTCAGAGAGAAAAAAACTCCAAACTTGACAGAAGATAAAACTTGGATAAGCTGGCTGAATGAGTTACAGGTACCAGGAGACCAGGTCATATTGACATTATAGAAGGCAGCTCAGAAAAAAAAATGAAAATGGTCAGTCACACATCAGGGAAGCCAACTAGCTTCGCTCAATGAGAAACAATCCTGGACTTTTAGCACTCAGTGGAAACGTGCCAGGGGACTAAAAATTTATGGATCATTTTGTCCAGTAAATCTTGTATGAAGACTTGCTACTGTTATCAAAAGAGCAAAAAACTTCTTAATGATCAGCTTGAAGTCAGGCAAAATCTAGACAATTTCATGAATCCGAATAGTGGGTGTTTGGCGGTTACTGTGGTGTGGTTCGCTCCTTCTTTCCTATCAAACATCTACCTTCATCCTTTTTTTAAGATGTTTGTTACTCTCTTCTCTTTTACCACATAGTCTTCTGCACTTAAACTAACTTTTATATACGATATAATTGTGCTGCGAATGCTGTAAAACACTTACTAAAACAAAGGAATCTGAATTTATCTGTAAAATCAGTTCTCTGACACATGATAACCTTTAGTGATTGAGTTTTAGAAATTAGAGAAAATCTGGGACTGGCCACCTCTCTATTTGACCTGGCCACTTCCGGCTACTAAGGACAGTGCTGTTGGACAAAAACTACTTATCAGTTTTATAGTGAACCAGTCCAGGTGATGTGTGAATGTATGAGAAATGACATAGGAAAAGCTATGAGATTTATTGACAAAGGTCAGGAGAACACAGTTGAAGGCTGAACACAGCACCCAGGCAGAGAAAACCAAACTCTTCACAGAGAGAGAGAGGGGGAGAGAAAGGAAGTGGGAGGGGGGGAGAAAGGAAGTGGGAGGGGGAGAGAAAGGAAGTGGGAGGGGGAGGGAGGGAGAGAGAAAGAAATAGGAAGGGGGGAAGGTGAGAGGAAGAGAAAGAGAGAGGTGGCAAGAGAGAGATTTCACAATGACCTGGGTGTGAACAAACATACACACCAAAAATGTACAGGGAGATTTTTCTAGGTAAAAAAAAATACATTCAACAGTTGAAAATATATTAGTAATTCCTGATGTTGGCTTCTTCCACTCAGGACAGACATGCTCTACACCTTCAAACAAAAGAAAAAAGTGAATATCTTTCACTGCCAGCTTTCCACATTAAAGACAGTCCATTTTAAGTAATCCTTTGAGGTGAAGCACAGCAACCTTCACCTTTCTCCTGTTTTCTCCTCCACAGACAGGCTCCATCGAGCCAGTGTGATGAGAACATCTAGCAGGGCCGCTATTCAGAGCTAGGTCATCTAGTTCCTGGGTAATCCTTTGAAAATTGCAACTTTCTGGATGGAGCACAAAATATCCAAAATAAGAGACATTGGGCTTACAAGTTGGCGCACACAAATATCCAAAGTGAGAGACATTCAGCTTAAGTAAATCCTTTGAGAAAAAAACTTCCAGCGAAGGGCTTTCATCCTGGCCACAGTGATCTTGTGTCAAATCCTTTGTGGTCGTATTAAGAACCATGGTTGTGTTGCGTACTAACTAACACACATCTGCTGCCTCTGGGTGAAGCTGCTCACTTGTCCCAACATTCTGTTCAAGCAGATAAAGGCAGAAAGGAGGGGGGGGTGGGGGGTATAGACACTTAGACTAGAAGGAGTGCTTGACGTGATGCTTCAGGATTTACAAAAAATAATGATAACTCGCACCCACGCACGCACACACACACGCACGCACGGTGCGCAGACAAACAAAGACACTAAGAGTGCATATAGGCCAAGTAATTTATGGACACCCCTGGACAAATTTTTAGTCAGCTCTGGCAGTCACCTTGGTGATTTTCCTGTTGATCCGGATTTTTTTCACCAAATCCCGATTTTTTTCTCCCCGAGATCCTGATTTTGAGGTTTCATAGAGTGGCAGGTCTGGTTATAATAAATTGTTCCCTTTTTGTCTTCTTGCAGGTCCATGGAATTAGCTGAGGCGAAGAAAGAAGAAGGAAATAACTTTTACAAAGAACACAAATATTCAGAAGCATTAGCATGTTATACGGAAGCCATCAGTAAGTTTCATTTGAAATTAGATACAATTTTGTTGGGGTATTTTTTTCCATTGTCACTGTCATCAACTGTTTTTTTTTTATTTAGTGCCGTTAAGTGCTATTCACAATAACTGATAGTGACAGTGCAGACATTCTGAGTTGTGCTGTCAAGTAAAAAAAATCAAGACTGCATAGAATTTTGCCTTTTACATGATCACTTTGTAGTTGTATTTATACCCTATCTGGTCATTGGATTTGTGGTTATTAGCTGTTGAATGCTGATTAATATTTCTTGGATATTTGGAACAGAATGTTTGAAATTGTATTGCAAGGAAAGGCGAACCTTTTGTGCCGGTTTCCTCCATTCTATCATTCATAGGCCGGGTAACTGTATTGTGAAGGTAATATTATTATCTATTCCTTAATCCCAGTTTTGCCTTCTATAAATAGTGCGATGACAAATTGATTGAATTGTAGTAGCAAATAAAGGGGAACCTGCTTTTAAACATTGCCATATATTATGATATATTATGTACATTTTGGTGAAGAAATCAAACGAGACAAAATGTTGGGGAAAAAATAAATGTTCTGGTTTTGCAGGCAATCTCTTCAAACAGGCTGTCACATGTCATTTTCAATCCTCTAAAAGCACTAAATTTCAATTTCTTTGGGGGCTTTGCTCCCTGAACCCCCACTGGGACGCTGTCCCTGGACCTAGCTGGGGGCCTATTCAGCACCCACACCTCCGGCAGAATTTTCTTTACTTTTCAGCTTCAGCTGGTGGAAGCACTGGGATCTGCATACTTTGTCAAATAAGTGGGGGG